AACGAAAATTAAGTAGAGTTATGCGTTCTCGAGCGGTCGATTGGCTTGTAGCCTTGAGTTGCGACCCGCTGACCAAGTCGAAGGGGACAGCGTGTCGATGAGGTCCTGCAGGTCTGCATGCCGAGGCGGATTGACTGGTCACACCAACTGAGACACCTGACAACAGATTGAGTTGAGAGACCCAGGTGCAACCCCGTGAATAGTCCAACACCAGCATCCAGACTGTTGTTAGTTGGTCTAGTCTTGGGTGCGGGGATCAGCTCTCAGCATAGCAGCAGCGGCGGTTTTTGGACATCCTAGCAGCAATTTCGGATCGAATCAGAGGCGACAAATGAGGTCGATGGCAATCCACCTCGCAGTGGGTATCTGGACGCCAGCCTTGCTCTGGTGGTGAGTAATTTCGGGCGATGTCCAAGGAAGGCTACCCCTGCTTAGCTTGACGCTGTCGTGTCGCAAGGCGAGGAGGGCAAGCCACAGCCTCGTCAACAAGTCCGAAGGGGCAGATAATGGCCGTCCTGTCAGGGGCAAGGGTTTTCCAGCCGTGAAAAAAATCCCATGGAGACTAGATTGAAACAAGGCCGAAATTATTTTGTCGCTGGGGGGCTTTCTCGTGTGTCTGTTTCCCCGGATCGCCGCTCACATGACCGTTGGCAGCTGCAGGGACATGGCCCGATGAGATGGCGAATTGAGAAATTCGAACCCGGTCGGAGAAAAGGCACTTGCAATGGAGCCGATGACAGCCTCGTCGTTCCTCAATGAGAAAAAGAAGCAAAAACCTGGTATGGGCGCTTGGCATCAGAAGCGAGAATCTGGGAGTGGATAGGTACACAGAGACAAGTTGCAAGAGGCTCGCGATGGGTGGGATGAAAAATTCCTCGTTGTCTTGAGGCAATTGGAAGGAGCGACAGAGCCCCGATTTGGAAAACTCGGTCGGGGCAAGTTCACCTTCCCAAGTCCTTCCTTCACTCAATTGTCTACATGAAGCAGTCCTGCGTAAAACTGAGGTGCCTGTGCTTGGTTCATGGTTGGTTGTTGGCTCTCGATATGGAAAGTACGGGACACCGACGACAGCGCAACGGTGGCAGGGGAGGTGTCAACTTCGGCAGGCGCGTTTGATTTCCTGGTGCTAACTGCCAACCAGCCGTCATTGCAAGCCACGCGCCGTCATCGCTCCTTCCTCAATGCAACCTCCCACGGACTGGGAGCCTGATGTACATTCGACCCAACAAGGGTTCTGTGATGAATGCCCTCCTTCAGTTCCACACCCATCACCCTCGAGTCGAGCTTCAACTCGTCTCTAGGCCCAATTTGTGGCATTCTCCGGTCCTCGCCATCATGGTTTCTTTTTCAGCTTGTCCCCCGATCGTCTTTACTTTTTCTCGACACTTGCTGTGTGCAATTTAACTTGACCGACCTTGAGATTGATCGACGTCGGCTAGACCATCGCCACCAGCCGCCGCTTGACAGCGAGGGATGTGTGAACGGCCCGGCCCATCGAATTCCGCCAGATCCCTGCATAAAGAGAGACATCTGCTAGTTACGACCCGCATACCGCCCCGAGAACCTCGTGGACTGGCCATGAGAGCTGAGGCTCGCTTCCCCAGTCTGAAGCCAGATGCTTGATACATCGTCATCGAGGACCCCCACAGCATGGAATGCGGTTTCCCATCAGCTGAGAAGGAAAAGTTGCATGCCGGTAAAGGCAAATTGAGAACAACACTCGAGAAAACCCTTGGAATCCTGCACATGGGGGAGCCTGGTCGGCGGATAACGGTGGCCAATATCATGCCAGAACGCGGGTGCTCCACGACATGGCCATGACCAATGCTGACGTGCGACGCAAAACACTCGATCTCTGAGGCACAGCAAGAACCAACAAGTGTGGCATTGAAACAACCAACAAGACTTGGACAAGGGTGACTGCACGAGCGAGAGCGGTCGTAACGTGTTGGGCTCATGATGCCGCGATACGCAATCGGCAAACTGGCTTGACATGGTGGAACGCGGCTGATGCTCACACCGATACTCGTCTCGCCCTTCGGCCAAGTCGAGTGGTATGCAGACCCGAGACCTCGGGGCTGGCGTCAGGGTTGGCACGACGGGCTTGCACCAGAGCTGCCGCCATGCTCACTTGTCACAATCTCAACCCCATACCAGGGAGGTCCTTGATTGGCTTCGCCCAAGCAAGGCTCGGTCCGCCAATCGCACACGTCAAGCTACGGTCACGTGAACAAAATCTCATGCGGAAGATCCATGCAAGCCCGGGTAGGCTGCATGTCTCCCGTGAAGGCCCCGGTTTTTCAAGTGCGCGGCGGGCTTACTGAACGGGCCGCCATACCCAAAGGGGGTAGGCGAAGCTATCACGGACCTCGTGGAGTCGTCGCCTTGGTCGCCTCACCGCAGGAAGAGGGGAGCCTGGTGGACTGGTTGGCGAGTTGGCAAGTTGAGCAGTCACTTGGATGGCGTGGTCGCATCCCAAAGGTCTGGTACCCTCGCCGCAAAAAGCAACAGACCCCGAAGGAATCTTGGGCCCCCGGAGGAAAAAAAAAACAAAAAAGAGGGCAAGGGTTGGTGCTTGCAGATGTGCATCCGTCCAGCAAAGCCTGCCACGTCGCAATTTCACGGCGCGGCACGGTCGTCAGTCACTTCGCGCCATCCCGGGCTGCATGTCATCCTGGGCCACCAACACTCGCCAACGACGATACGTACCAGCGAGTGACTTTATCCTACAGTGCGAGATTGACCAACGACGCACGGGAACTGATTCCCCGTTTCTGACAACCCAGACCAGACCAGACAACCCAACCCAACCCACAGGTCAGCCAGCCCCCGTCACGCCCATTCTGGTCCCTGTGCGACAGGCACAGACAGACAGGCATGAGACAAAGCGCCAAAGTCAGCCATGAGCGGTTGTTGAATCAAAGTCAAATTCGTGTTGCGGGTTAAAGAAGGACGAGGGCCCTGCATTTGGTGATCAATCACTCTAACCGACCACGCAATTGGGGCTCGAGGGTGCTTGGCGACGTCTGAACGTGAGGGGAGCGAGCACAAGGCAAGGCAAGGCAGGGCAGGGCAATGTACTCTGGCACCACGAGACCTGGTCTGCATGCACGGCGACCTGCAGGCTGAATAGTGCGGCGCTGGCCTGGCGTGTTATTGTTGTCCTTGCCTTGACCAGACGGGGTCCCCTGCGAGAAAACACGCCCCAAATTGATTCTGGTCAATCTGACGGGCGCGCCTCGCTCCAAGAAGACTTGAAGTGCTTTTTGCGTTGATCTCGCCGGCGCTCGATCTAGCGACCGCCCTCCGATAGGGCGCAGGCTCACCCGGCGCCGGCTAGCAGCTTGTCGCAGCGCAGCCATGCACCTAGCCCATGGCTCCGCGACCACCAGCGGGGCTCCGCCACGGAAGACAGAGGGTTCCCGTAAGAACAGCAAACACAGGCCGGCTCGGCCGCCAGCCATCCCACGGCACGGCCTTCTTGGTCAGAGGACTCGGCCGCCTCGCACCCCGTCTCTGAACACCTGGTTGACTTCTGGCCGGGGTTCTGCGGTGGCATGCCCGACCAAGACTGCGGATGGCTCGGTGACAAGCGTGAGCCTGCTTCTAATGACGGACATACAGCAGTCTGGCAATCAAGCGGTGAGACGGACAGGGCAACATCTGCCAATCTACATCCATGCCAGCTTGTGACCCTTCTCGGACAGAGGGATTGCCATTTTCACCTGCTTGCGTCAGGGCCGTCCCTATAGCCCTGTTGAGCAATAGACTCTGTCAAAGTTGTGCTACTCAGCGCTGCTCTTGTCAGAGTCGTAGTCTTCGTATCCCTCGATGGATGGGATGGCTGCCAGGCCGCACCAAACTGCCGGCCGTGTGTTCGGCTTGGCATGGTTCCCGGGCGGGGATGGGAGGGAATGCACGACCTTGTCTCTGGAGATTTTGCCGCAGCAGCCAGGAACCTTCATGCATTGATGCTTCGACATGACAGTGCCGTACCGTACCGTACCGCACCGCACTGCATCGCAGAGGGAGCGAGCTGCTGCGGGAGGGAGATGTGCTACGCCGCAGCACCATCCCTTGCAGGCTCGGCGATCAGCGTCGACTGTGGTTAACCCCACCCTTCTTTTTGGGCTGGCTGCATGTTACGACTCACGGGTGGAGGGCATCTCGTACCACTTGTTTGCTCCTTGGACGCTTGCATTGGCCTAGGGTTGCTTTACCATATCCTCCGTACGGGGTACCGAAGGAGTTGCTAGAATAGCACAACCACCGGGTGCTGCAGTACTGCTCCATTGCACTGCTCCTGCTACAGTAGTATGCAACATCTCCCCTCCCGGCTGGCGGACCGGTGCGATCGCGCATGCGCAGGATCACGGAGAAACACAGCAACGCAAATCGACGATCTTGGCTCGGTTGGCGACGTTGACTAGTTAAGGGGAAGGACGGTGTAGGCATCCGACTCGCCAAGCGCACACTGAGGCCTGCTGTCTTGGGTGTCGATAGTAACTACACTTGTTTTGCCAGTTATGAGGCCCAGTCGACAAGAGTTTCGGGAGCTGTTTACTTACCAGGAGCTTGAAGCCCCCCCACGGCCCCAACATGCATCTACGATCCGCAAGCAACTGGCCTTGATTCTCTGGATCAAGCCGACAACTGAAACATGCAGGCTTTATTTGATTCCAGCCATGCACTGTTGGGTGAGGAGGGGCGGGGCTTTTTCATCAATGGCAACGCGGAGATATTCTCTTGAAATGTTTGCGAGGATATGTCTGCGATCTTGAAGGCTAACTATCCGAAAAGTCTCCGCGGCCGAGTTTATAACATGGGATTTTCTGAGCGATCGAGCAACAGAGTTCAACATCTGTATCAACTCGAACTGTGTACGAAACTACCATTGGCTCTCAGAAACCAAGACAAGGGGTTTAATACTGCAATACTTGATCCTTATCCTGCACGCTTTGCTCGCTGTTTCACTTACCGCTAGGCCCGACCTCGCCACCATGACCGACGTTCTATCCGAGAACCAGGCGTACTTCAAGTGAGAACCCCTTCCTTTAGTTCAGCATGAACTAGACAGCTGCATGCATCCGCCATGTCCATCATTCGATCTTGGCTGCTTGTTTGCCTGCCACGGCCTCAGACCTGTTGGTCTGGCCCGGCCTGTTGGTGGATCAGCAACTTGTTTTCCACCACGTCACGCTACTAGCCGAAGCTGCAGCCTCCTGTATGAAGTTCCTTGCTAATTCGTTGCAATTGCAGTAAGATCGCCGGGGAGTATGACCAACGCAACGCAGGTGCGATTGCACAGCTGGAGCGCGATATTGAGCAAAAGACAGCCTTTATTGGAGTCAAGCAGGGTGCCAGGCTACTAGACTATGCCTGCGGCACCGGCATGCTCTCGAGGGTTAGTTGCCTACAGGATGAACCTGTCCGGACCAAACATGATGGGGACTGACGTTGTATTGCAGGTACTGGCAAAGTACACGAGCGAGACCATCGGCATCGACCTCTCTAAGGACATGGTCGGGGTGTATAACGCCCAGGCCAAGAGCCAGGTTAGTTTCAACCGCCTCAAGCAAGCTGTGAAGCCCGCTTTTAGCCCACAGCAAGCCGTCTTGTCTCGATGATTGAGTCCACTAACAGTACATAGGGTTTATCTAGGCAGGCCTATCAAGGCAATCTGGCTGATCCCGCCGACCCATCGGCTCCAAGCTTCTCGGACGCCAAGTTCTTCAACTTTGACATAGCCGGCGTGGGGCTTGGCTTTCACCACATTGACAAGCCAGATCTGGCAGCTAAGCGGCTGGCTGAGCGGCTCAAGACTGGTGGAGTGCTCTTTATCATTGACTTTGTTGCCCACGAGATGGACCCCAAGTTTGCGGCCGGACGGGGCATCACGCACCATGGCTTCACTGGAGAGCAGATCAAGGAGATGTTTGAAGGGGCTGGGCTTGGTGATTTTGGATATGAGGAGTTTGCAGAGCCTATCACGTTCAAGGACTGCCACGGTGAAGGACATGGGCATGGGCATGGACACGACCATGGTCACAGTCACGGGCATGGAGATGGCCACGATCATGGCCATGGCCATGGACACGGGGGTAAAGAGGGAGTAAAAGCTACTAGGAGGGTCTTTATTGCAAGGGCCTCAAAGCTTTAGCGGAGCTGAAACTGTTTAGACTCCTCAACTGTCAAATTAGACAGATGTGGCTGTTGACTAACAAGTTGACAGGGACCCAAGCTTCCGAAACATTCGGATACTTGATTGTCAGATCATTTATGCCATGTACGTTTCCCAATATGGCTCTTCCGTGTCTTGAAGCTCTTCGGGCCGGTGTATAGTTACGGATTTTTGATACCAAGTCTCAGTCACAACTACGAAAGCACATTCTCCCTCGATAACACAACAAACAACCCTTTATCAACTCTGTATTAAACATATCAGATGTCAAAATTCCCTACCGTCACCACGTACCCGTCTTGGGCAAACAAATTACACAGCCGAGCATTAAACACGGCATTGGAATGAATATCCACACGCAATCCCGCATACCAACCTTATCCGCAATCCACAGACGGGCCCTTGGGGGATTATATCCGTTCCAGAGGCACGGCACGATTCCATGGACCAACAGTAAACGCCACTGGACAGGTGAGTGTGCCCCTTCCGGCTGGCATGTGTATAGGAAAAACATGTTGTGACAGGTAGAGACAGGACACGAGAGGTAATCTCGTGAGAAACCAGGAGAGCATTCCCTCACACCCTCCTCTGTCTGGACCGTGCCGTCCCGCCCTTTCTGAGAAGTCAGCCTTGGTGTCTTGTCCCTATCCGGAAAAGAAGCAGCAAAATAAACGAAAAGCCACTTTGAGAGATGAAGGGATGGGAGGCCTTATCTTGGCACATTTCTCCCCACGACTCGAGTGGAGAAGAAACACAACAGCAAGGGAGCAGGATAGGCTCAGAGTTGCCAGTGACGTCTTTGAGTCGGGCAAGGGAGAGGCTTATCCGGGGCGGCGCGATCCGGTGTCTTGGAAGCGAAGGGGGAGCCATGGCTTGCATCATGTGGTCCAAAAAGCCTCTTCCGCGGCTTCCAGAACGAGACCCCAGTTTTGGCAACTGAGTCGTGGAACGAGATACAATTCATTTACACGCCCTTTATTTTTCGAAAGACAAGAAGTGATAAGGAGTGTGTCTAATTTGCGGAGTTGGCGGTGGCGGACGGACTCATCGAGGGCGGCGGCGGCGCTACCCCGAAGCGAGGCTTGGTCATTTCCGTCGAGCATACCAGTCAAAGAGGCTTTTTGAGCCGTGGTGTCATGAGGCCCTTGCGAAAGGTGTTGTCTGTGTCAGGTCAGCAGCTGAGACTCTGTTGGTGCAATATCACGTTCTGGAGGGGCGGTCTGATCGTCAGCGGGCTGTAACAAGAGTCCGAGAACTTGGGGGACGTTGGTTGGTGATGCGGGATGAAAATATGTCGATTAAATGGCAAAGTCTATGATTAAATGGAACCATCTATGTCTGTATCCGGGCGGTAGATCTGTTTTCAAAGTACTTGGCAAACTTAGTTGTCGTCGAGTTCGACCACGAAAGCACCGCCAAGGAGGAGGGCGGGTTCTTCAATGTTGTGATGTTCATAACTGTGTCGTGTCAGAATACGTGTCATTAATAGACGGACGTGGATGGGTCTGTTAACTCACCTGAGAGTTCCAACACCACCTGCTTCTAGAAGAAAAGCAGGGCCATTCTGCAGAGAGTAGCGAGCCCATCTCATAGCAAAGGCACGGAGGATGTGACCGTGAGCGATGAGGAGGACATCACCACACTGGTCCTTGTCCTTGCCCTTACCCATCACCGGCTGGTGCCACCTTTCACGGATCTCCTTGATCAACTCGTCCAACCGTCTCGTGACGTCTTCAGGGCTCCTGAGATGAAGTTAGCAGATGAGGTTGTCAACGTGAACGAACCAATAGGCCCGAGGGTGTAGGGTAGACAAGAGTGTTAGATGGAATGGGATACTCACTCTCCTCCTGGGCAGCCATCTCTCCAGATATCCCAAGTTCCCCTGTAGCCTTGTCCGTCTCTCATCTTGCGAATATCAGGGGTGGTGATGCCCTCGTAGTCGCCATAGTCCCACTCGCGGATGTTCTCAGTGACCTCAATCTTGGCACCACACTGGAGACCCTCGCCCTCACTCTCTCCGTGTCTCGTCCAGGGAAGAGGTTCATCAAGTCCAATGTTGAGTAGCTCAAAGGTGCGTTGGGCACGCTTGCGGGGTGAGACGTAACTGGAGGGTGTGTTAGAACTGGGTGTTGAAAGGGGAGATGCTCGTTTAAAGAGAGGAGTGGAATGGAGTTATGTAGATGGTTTTGCTAGATCAAGAACCCATTGAACCGAAGTTCCCAAGCAATCTTGATGGTAGCTTCCTCGTCTTGATGGCATTGAATGATGTTTCGTGGAAAGTGGGACACGAAGAAATCGACACTCACATGTGGGCAATCTTCTTGGGAGCAATAAGTCGGTCATGACCAACAAGAGCCTTTCCGGTAGCCTTGACACGCTTCTCACCGTTGGCGGTGAGTGGAATGTCGGAACGACCGGTATGCCGACCGTTGAGGGACCATTCCGTCTCTCCGTGGCGGACGATGAAGACGCGGGGTGTGGACATGGCAGGCGAGTAGCTAGAAAGAAGCTTAAAACCGAGGTAGTACTCGATTGAAAGTTGCAGAAGAATCTCCCTCTGTGCCTGCGTCTGCAATCAGCAAAAGTCGTCAAGCGGGGGAGAATGATCTGACGTTAACAGGTAGCCTATGATGGCGGGGCCGAGTCAAGGCCGGAAGGATTGGGATAAACCTGTTTGAAGAGGCACAAGTCAGGCGAGAGGTCTAGAGTATCGATTGATAATGCAAGGTAGAGGCGTAGACGGTGATGCAGTGTTTGATATATATTGTTGCGAAAAGGGTAATTTCGGTGAAGAAGAGGGTTATCTTGACCTTGGGGGACTGTGGTGTTGAGATGGGAATGGACGTGGGACGTGGGATGACCCCGCGCTGTCAGGTCAGGAACGAGCAGGAGGGGTACTTTACCTGCAGTTGCAGTTGCCTTGATGGCCTCTTTTTTTCTCTCACAAAAATTGAAAAGAAGAAGAAAAATGCTGCGCCGTGTAACTTCCTTCATGCGCCATAAGCCAGCTTCTTCCAATAGGACAGGATAATATCTTTTTACCCGGCGGCCGCTTTACGGTCTTCTCTCCTTTGCACATGCCACTTCTAGCCCCACTCAAATCAATCAAGGGGGATAAGGTGAGCAGTGACTGCATGGGCGGGTTTTATTGTTAAGCTTCATGTAATGACCCATCTAAGCCATATTTTTGAACAAGTGTTTTATTTTGTAACCTTGTTATGCGTTGTTGATGCATGGAAAAAGTTGAAACGAATAATGTAGGGAAGTCAATACATTGATTGAGGCATGAATAGACTCTACCCTCGGAACCTAAGTCTCCCTTCTCGGTCTTTTACTCTTTACAATAAATAATACACGTTGCCCTTTATTTTGAATCTCAAAATAGTAAAACAAAACAACAACACCAATCATCTCAACATCGCAACCACCATCTCCCATCACCAACTGCTTCATCATCATCACTCACACACATTGTGACATCAGCTAAACCCCCACATCATCATGCCCCTCCTCCACAAGACTGCAGCTAGCTTACTAAGCTGCCTCCCTAAACCACCATCTCGGCGCCAAAAGTCCCACTCGGCGGCCGCTGTCGACGACGATCCAAAGTCCAAGTCCTCGTCCGCGTCCTCGTCCCGGTCCTCCTCGCCGACTCCGACTCCGACTGAAGAGATTGAGCTCGACGTGCTCACTTCCAAGCCCGCCCTGCCTCCGACGCGTCCGAGACTAAACTCGACCCTGTCAAACTCTACAAACAGCTCCGAGTCTTCCATTTCGGAGTCTGGCAGCTCGGATTTCTTTACAGATAGCTCTGGCTTGACACTCGAGGAACGACGTAAACTTGTCGAGGAGATTTTAAAGGAGCTAGAGGCCTTTTGATACCCTCATTTGTGTCTTGGAATAAAATATCTACATCATCACACAATGGCTGGAGTACATCAATGGACGAGGCAAGAAAAGTTCAAGCGCGGCATCTGGGCCGTAGCTTTCGCCGCCTGCATTTTCGCCGGAACAATCACCGGCGCACAATTAAAGACGGATAATGAAAAGAAAGAGGTTAGATTGGGCATTTCCCAGTACGCATTTCTGGACTATGTACTGACACTCAAGCAGGCCATCAAGGAGTTTCGCGCAACGTCACCAAATGATCAGATAGCCGCTCTCCTATCACAACGGCAAGCTCTTGTTTCACAAAAAGAGATTCTGCAACGGAAAATGGACGCTTTTCAAGACCGTGTCAAGGAGAGGGAAGCTGAAAAGGCGAGAAAGGAAGCGAATCCTTGATCATCATCGTCGAAGCCTAGTAACGGCTTCGTTGTATCACCATCATGTAAAGCTACGAAAATTTGCATTCACAACAGGAAATCGGCGTTAACGGCTGGGAAAATGGGATCGGTAGATGTTGTTCATTGATAGCAACGCAACCGAGTGACAGCTTCATTTGAAAGCTCAACAACAGGAATAGACATAAAAAAGTCATCTCGTTACCATTCGCGAATTGATCCTTACTTTGCCCCTACGCCTAACCATGTTCCTGTTCATTTTCATCTAGCACGTTCGTTCCGTCCTGTGCCACATCCCCGCAACACAACCAGAACTACCTCGTCTATCTATACCCGTAATCCCATGAAGCTTACTCCTCGATACCCTCGGCAGTGGGCAGAGGGATGGCCCGGTACAGGAGGATGAGAGCGGAATGAGACTCACCACCGCCGGCGAGGGTATCAATCTTCTCAGCTGGTACTTCAGAGACCTTGTCGTCGTTGAACCACCACCACTTGCCGTCCTCCTCACCCTTCTTGCCAGTCTTGGGGTCGATAGGGGCGGCCTTCTTGACGTACGAAGTGTAGTGACCACTGTCGGCACTGGCACCCTGATGCGTCACAACGCCTCGGAGCTCATACAGACCCGACTGGTTCGCACCGTCGTCATGGCGGAGATCGGGGTTGATGAGGGCAAAGAGTTCCTTCTTGGCCTCCAAGAGAGAGGCATTCTTCTCAGCCTCAATCTCGGCGTCTGTCTTGTAGGTCTCACCCTCCTCTCCCATCACAGTGTCGCCATCAGCCGTCTTCTCGGCCTCCTTCTTCTCCTTCTCAGAAGGAAGACCGGCACCGCCTGGAATGTCGCCAACATCAACATTCTTCTTGCGTCGCTTGCGGGCACGCTCAATATCCTCCTCGTCCTTGCGAATCTCACGGACCTTGTCACGAACGGGGACCAGAGCCTTCTTCAGCTCATCCGAACAGAACTCGACAATATCAAGCTCCTTAGGGAAGGTCACCTTTCGCATGATCTTGGCCTTCTTCTGAGTCTCTCGCTTCCAGAAGAAGCGGACAAAGTGCACCGTGAGGTACTTGGGGGCCCGCGAGATCTTGGACGTCTTGGTGTAGACGGCATCGCGACCGAGGACCTCTGAGTTCTTCTCCAACTTCTCACTCAGAGCAGCGATGATGCCGTCTCGCAGGTGGTTGGTTGAGCTGTCGATGTGACAGTTGAGCTTTCCAAAGCTCTCGGTGCTGGTAATAGGCTGCTCGCCGCCGTTGCGGGCTTCCTCCTCGTCACACTCCATAACCGACGAGAATTCACCCGACATGTACTTTTGCACAAACGACGTGTCGGATGAGTCTTCATCCTTGATGCGAAGCTTCTGGCTCAGCTGTTGAACAATCTGCGTCCAGGCCTCCTCAGCGTCCTGCTGGGCGTAGCCGTGTCCCGTCTTGGACTTTTCAGCAAACTGGGGGTAGACGATCCGTAGGGCGTTGAGAAAGTTCAGGGGCGGGAAAGAATCTTGCGTCTCGCCCATCTTCTTGTACAGGTTGGCCAGGTGGCCGGCCAGATCATTTGAAGAGCCGCCCAAGAGGAGGGAAGTGCCGTCTTGCTCAGGTGTGTACTTGGACAGAGCATCTTGAAGCTCTGGGATCAGACGCAGAGTCTGAAGGGTAGAGTTGAGGTAGCAAGTGTTTCCCAGGTTCATCAGGCCAGCAGGTGTGGCGCCGACCTGCTGAGCCTGCTCAGCCTCCGTCATGTCCTCAACAAACTTGACAGCATCCTTGGGTCGGACGATATCACCAGAGGCAGGTGTACCCATCATCATGATGAGCTGACCAGGCTTAAGGTTCAGCTTGCTCATATCCGCATCGTCTTTGAGCTGTCCTCCCTTGATCAGGATCTTTTGTCGCTCGGGCTCGACATTTGTCAGGCTGTACATCTGGAGCTTAAAGTCCTCGCCGGTGGAGTTTGGGTCGACCTCGACATCGTGTTTCTTGCCCTGATGCTTCACGACAACTGGTGTCTGTTAGTAATGGACTCTAAAGGGAGGGGCATGGGCAACTGACCTGATATGGACGCCATGATGTCGGTTCACGGAAGCTCTCCGAGCTTGAAAGTGGAGGGGAAAGAGGGAGAGAATGAGGCGTCAGAAGGGTATTTAGAGGACCCTTATCAATGACACCTAATCGACTGTAGCACGAGACAGTCGGTGAAAGCAAAAACGAAAAGGGTTCGTGCCTCTAGGCAAGGTTCATGTGCGTAGAAGATGCGAGAGGTGCGTCACCGATTGGTACCTGGACGACGGCGAATTGTTGGTGGGGAAAGCGGTGTACCTTCCGCGGGGCAACAGATGTGGCTAACGAGAGCTTCACTAGCCACGGAGCACTGAGGCTCAAGCTATCCTTCCACGTGACATAGCGCTGTGAACCTCTCCAGCTCGGCGCCTCGTCATGAGCCCCACCCGGGGGAGACGTCAGGCACGGCGCCCCAGAGTGACAACTGCGCCTCACGTCGCTGAAGCTCCAACCTCCAACTCCAACATCGACCGACCCCGCCGAATCCGTTGATACCTCGACTCACGCCTCGACAGCTTGATTAGAGGCATCATAGGAAGCATCAGCAATCATGGTACATGTTTCGGCCCCCTAGATGTCAATTTACCTAAGCTGACACCTACTCCCCGCTCTAGTCTCAATCACTCCGACCTTACCTGCAATGTGTACGCAGCAGCTTGACCGCCGCCCTCACCCTGTCCAACTTTGCCTCCCAGACGGCCGAGCGACACAATGTCCCCGAGATTGAGGCCCAGACGTCCCCCGAGGTCCTCCTGCAGCCCCTGACCATTGCGCGCAACGAGAACGAGCGCGTCCTGATCGAGCCCAGCATCAACTCTGTCCGCATCAGCATCAAGATCAAGCAGGCCGACGAGATTGAGCACATCCTGGTCCACAAGTTTACGAGATTCCTGACGCAACGTGCCGAGTCGTTCTTTATCCTGCGGAGGAAGCCCATCAAGGTTGGTTTTTGCTGTTGATGATGGTTAACCCCTGACTGACCTCGTTGTAGGGTTACGACATCTCCTTCTTGATAACAAACTTTCACACCGAGGAGATGCTTAAGCACAAGCTCGTGGACTTTATCATTCAGTTCATGGAGGAGGTTGATAAGGAGATCTCTGAGATGAAGCTATTTGTGAGTACCTCTTACACCTGGACGAGTTCCGGTCTAACCGAGTTGCAGTTGAACGCCCGAGCACGATTTGTGGCCGAGTCTTTCCTTACACCTGTAAGCCGACACCCCCCTCAAACTTGTACTACAAATACTGACCTCTGTAGTTTGACTGAAGAACCTCAGCTGGCTTGAGGGTTGGAGTTATGCTTGGGGGCGTCGGTTGTCGCGATATTCTTGTGATCAAAGGGAAAAGGTACCGACCATGATAGCAATTTGACCCGCAGAGATGTAGACGGGGCGAACCTCATGCTGCGGCTAGGGAGGGATCCGAGATGACGATATTAGACATGAAACCTTGTCGACTACACCGAAACTTGAATGCACGCTTTTTAGAAATACTCTGCCTGCCTATGTCATATGATCTCCCGAGTCGCGCTGTATTTGCCCATGTTTGCCCGAGTTGCCTAGGCAGGCTTAGGCATTGCATCGAGTTAGTGGTATATCCCCTGAGGCATCCAATTGACTCCGTTGTTCCAGTGGGCGTTGCATCGTCGCAAGTCAAACCTCAAAGTTGAGTAGACCGCAACTCGCCACAATTCACCACCAAGGGATAATAGTAAAATCTCTAGATCCCGAATTCGTCCTTTATTACTTCATCTTTATTCATCATTTCTCCAAAGACTGGTCGTGGTCGGTTCTTGGTCACTCGGCCAGCAGTGTCAAGGATCGCCACTAACCTCAATTGACACTCTGATATAAAACAGCCAAAAGCGATACAAGCCATTTCCCATTGTCCTCAATCCCTCTTTAAGACTTTCCCATTGTCTTTCTGCTTTATTCCGGGTTCGGCTGGCTTGATCGTGAATCATTGTCGCTCGAGTTCGGCTCATCTATTTAAGCCCCCCTCACTCTCCTCTTCTCCCCTTCAACCTCATCTCTTCTCAACACTGCCAACTGACGGCCACTGCCTGGCACTTTCAACTCCCATCTTTCATTTCCCAGGCTTCATCCGTCACGTGCGCAGCGCTCCCCCGTTTGCCCTACTTCTTCCCCCTCCGCCCTCTTCTTTTCTCTTCCCCTCTTCTTCCCTTCAACATCATCCTCCCTCAAACACACTCGCTCCACGATCGCTTCTTCAAACATTTCTACCTTGCAGCTTCCACAGAGCTCAAAGGATTGTTTGCTCGCTTTTAGCTACTCAAAGGCGATCGTCTGTTTGCGCGCGCGTTCATTTCGCATTTCTCCGCATTCATCTTTTTCCAACATCTAACCTCATACCTCCTTCAACTCCATTCAACCTTGCGCAATCGAACTTTGTTCACTTGCGATCGCTTCACTCAGGTTCGTTCGCGACTCAAAGACAAACGCCATGGCAGGAATTCTCAAGTACAGAAACACTGACTCCATTCAGCCTTTGTCTTGCGTCCCCGTATCAGAAAGACTTTAGGTGGTTATCCCCTACTGGTAAGTTTTGTCCCTACCCGCTCGTCATTTGTGTCGCGGGAGATTAGTTTCTCGCGGGAACCCCTGAGCGTTTGCCCTTTATTGAACTCTACCATTCTTCGTGTCATGACATGAATCACTGACAATCATGACCCATTTTAGGTCTGCGATCTCAAGATGTCGCATAACACTGGCCCCTTTAATGGGCAGTCGAACGCCGCACTGCCTAATATGGCACGCGGTTCCTTCCCGAACCAGCATGCAGTTCAATCCCCCGCTCAGCATCCGGGACCCCTCAACTCAAACCCACCGTTCCGAGGGAATGCGCCTTCCTTTCACAGCCAGGCTGCTCCGGGCCAAGGTGCCGGAACCGGGGCCCACTCTGGACCACACCCGATGGTCAACGGCAACGTCAACGGTAATGTCAACGGGAATATGGGCACGAGCGACGAATCTTGGATTCCGTCTGCTCACCAGGTCATTTCCAATGCTCTGCGAGTAAGTTAATCCTGATGGTTTTTTCATCTTCTCTACTAACTTCTATTCAGTCCAGTGGTCTTGTCGGGAACCAGAACATCGATCGCCCACCTATGCCCATGATCATTGGCAATGGCCAAGAGTTTGGTCTTCCAGGCTATGTTCGGGCTCCTCCTAACAGCCCCGCGGAGGGATTTGCTCATCTGGCCAATGCTGCCAACACGTACGGTCCTGGTGCTCCGGTCCCTTAGATGGGAGGCCAAGCTACCATGAACGGTGTTTCTCAAGGACAGGTAAGCTTCTTCTACATTTGGACCCCTGATTTATGTCCATCATCACTAATTCTTACCCCAGACCCCTCAGGTGAATGGAGTTCAACATGGCCCACCTACTGGTCTTCTGTCTCCTCCTCACAGACACTCGGAGATGACTCTCTACACTGGAGTTCCCAACAACGGTGGCCATGCCAACCACTCTCACACCGACAGTGGATTTTCTGATGCTGAACTTCCTAACGCTGGAATGCTCAATGGCGGAATGCCCAACGGTGTGCTTCCCGTCAACGGAGCTCCTGCCAATGGTCTGACCAACGGACTTGCTCATCCTTCATTTGCTCACACTGGACTTCCCAACGGAGTGCCTTCCATCAACGGTGTTCTCGCCCATGGAGCTCCCAATGTTGGCTTCGTCAACGGTGGTTTCGCCAATGCTGGTCCTCCCAACGTTGGGTTTCCTAACAACGGCAGACATCCCAATGGTCTTTCTGTCCCAATGGGTAGACTCCCTCTGAGCCAGTCATACACTGCTGGTCTCACTCAGAGCAACTCCCAGAACTCCGGTCTTTCGCTCATGAGCCCTGGAGACACTCCTCACGAGATTGCCGCTCCTCGCGCTCGAGTTCCTTTCTCCAGCCCTCTTGCCAACGGGCGTCTGACTGAGCCTCGAAACTACGCTCCTCGCACTTCGGGTCAGCCTATTCAGAGTCTGCCCCCTCCTCGCTTCAACCTGAACTTGGAATCGATTCCTGCTGTGTCTGAGAATATTCCTCAGGAGACGTCCCAGGACCCCTTTGGAAGTCCTGCTCCTTCTGATGCTACTTCTCTGATCCCGTTCCCTAATTTGCCACCTCCCACTGTTCAGATGGCAATGTTGGACAATACGCAGCTCGATCGGGCTATGGAGATGGCTCTCATCAAGGCTAACGCTCCCAAGTCCGACAAGCTTCACCAGCTGACGGGCACGTACACGGGCTTTCCCAGTCTTCATATGGCTCTTAACGCGAACTACTTCCCATTCATCGATGGTCCTAGCTCAGCTAAGCCGGTCACCTACGGTGTCATCCGCCTGAAGAACGTAAGTTGAGCTCCTATCTACCAATTCTCAACTTTATGCTAACTACCGCAGATCCCTTTCTCTACCAAGCGTGCAGAGGTCGTGGCTTTCATCGGCCGCAATAGCAAGATGCTCAATGATGCCGACGAGCCGGTGCACATCATCATGGACCGCGCCACGTCCAAGACCATGGACGCATTTGTCGAGTTCCAAACCATGGAGGACGCGATCCGCTGTGCTGAGCGCCACCACCAGTTTGCTCAGTCCGGACGTGTCAGTCGTCTTGGTGATCGTCCCATCGAGGTTGAGTTGTCCAGCCAGGCCGCTCTCATGAGAGAGCTCTATCCTCTCGCTCGTGGCGTTTTCTGGGATGGTGCCACTCCCAACATCTTGCCTCCTTGTTCTCGTGAGCCCTGGGGCAACTTCAAGGGTTTCATTTCCTGCGAGGAAATGGTTATGCTTGTCAAGCATGTCGAGGTTCCTCACCGAGTAAGTCTTTGCTTTTTCGTCTCTCAGCTCAGTCACTAACAGACCAGTCCCCTTTCTCCAAGGAGTGCCCCCAGCGCCCTTACGAGTGCCTCATCAGCACTCTTGGCAAGTTCCCCTGGTTCGCCACTGACTTCATCACCCTTGCCCAGCGTGGTGCCATGTACAAGGCCAGCTTCAAGCTGATCCGTCTGCTTACCGGGGCCGTTTCCCGAAACGATGATCCGGTCAACCTCAACCACCAGCTTTTCCGACGCGTTGTTGCCTCGGTCATGAAGTGCAAGGGTTTCACCGTTCTTCAGAAGGACAACATTGCGTTCCTGGTCCAGATGGGTCAGGCAGAGATGCGCATGTACCACCAGCCCGAGAATGCCAGCTCCTGGGTTCACCAGTACTCAGTTACGGCCAAGCCTGGTTGCCCTCAAGATGTTCTTGATGTGAGTATGACAATCATCGTCAAGTCTCTGACAACTTGTGCTAACATGATCATAGTGGTACATCCGAATCATTCGCGAGCAGTCGACTCGAGATGTCCTTGTCCGCCCCATTTCTGAACGCACCGCGATTCAGGAAACCCTCAAGGACACGGATGAGTACTGGGGATACTTCTTCCAGGAGGTGGGGTACACCCAGGGCCCAGATTTCGACTACATGACCCTCAAGCAGTGCGCCTTTCTGGAGTTCTCTGCTATCGAGCGTCTTCTCACTCGAGCCCTTGGCCACCATTAAGTTGGGGCACCGGAGGTTTACTTCTCCATCGGTGAACATGACAAGTTTACCAACACCATGCGTTCATGAGAGTCAATGAACGAAAGCCTTACAGGCTCAACTACGACTCAACACTCTGATTTTCGATCTGGTTTCCGGTTTGCATTTTCTTTTACTGCTCTGCTGGCTCTATACCCTTGGTTTCTTCGTTCTGCATCACGCCTTCGCATCTCGGCCGTTTTCATTTGCATTTCGCCTCGGCCGTCTGGTTTTACTACGACGCGACTCGGTTTCGGTCTACATCAACAACTGGCTTCTTTTCTTTTTCTATTTCATCTCGGCACAGCCTTTCTCTTGAACGCAGTTTCCCACCTCGGAACCCCCATAGAGAACAAGACTCTGGCGCTCGCGGGCATACGCAACTTCACCGGCACTAATAGGGAGTCCGGTTTCGAATCACGAATCGGGGCCAAGGCTAGACGGCCAACACGCACGGGGAAGAAGATGTTGCGGCGCTTTAATAACTAATAGAGGACTTGATCCTTGGGGGAGCGAGGATGGATGGATGGCTGCCAGGCTTTTTATATTGGGGCGATGCAATACTGGTTTCGGCTTTCTCTTTTTTTCACTCGGTCTACTCTTACACGCCATCTTTGTGGTTTGACAGGTTTTCTCGGACCATGGTAGTTAGTAGCCTGAGAAGGTCGACGGGGGTGAGCCTGTCTTGATCTGAATCGCGAACGGACTGTGGTTTGGGGTCTGGAGGACTATGGAGGTATGGTCTGGGTTTGGAATCTCGACAACTTGCTATATAAAACATAAAAAGGAAAAAAAGTTTTTTGATACTTGTGGTGTTTTGCGAATTTGTGAGATTTATGATGGCCAAGTTGAAGTCGTGAATGCGAGATTGATCGTTAATGGTGGTGATTTCTCCCCTCTGCGCTCTTCATGCAACACATTGACACGTTGATACTTGAACTCTTCCACAGCATCATGCATCCGAGTCTCTCAGTATCTATTTTCAGTTTCCTCTTCTCCATGATGCGTAGATGTCGACATGAATCTGCCTTCGCAGTTCGCGTCCATGCTATCATGTCCCTGCCTCTGCATAACAAGATTGATAACGGCATTTAGTGCACCAATGCAGTGACATTTCCCCTGAAACCCACCCTCAATGCCCTGGAATTCTGCTGAGCAACCCCTAGAATCTCATGGCTCCACGTGTAACAGATTAGACTCGGACCAATAGAAGGGACGACCATCATCTCCACCTGCAGAATCGACAGGGGGAAGGTACCCTTCGGTGGGCACCCGTCCCCTACCCCTACCTTGTAAGGTTGAGACGGGACATGCAATGTTGACTTGGCTTGGCCTTCTCTTCCTCCCTTGGCTCGTTCTCTCCTCGATCAATCAAACATTTGACCCAAGTCTTATTTCAAGGGGTTCGCTCTCTTGTTTGTTTGCGTACCTAGGTAGGTACTCTCTGTTATACCCGACCTCCCTTCCCTTCCCTTGCCGCTCCCGTGCCGAGATCTCTAAATCCAAAACATCAAGGAGGTTGCATTGAAATTGACATTGACATTAACATTAACAAGAGAAGGAAGCACTCGTCCCATCGTTCGTTCCTTGGTCGACGGATACCTGCCCGCCATCAATAACTAGACGAGTTCCCCAAAGCTAAGCTAAGCTACCAAGCTTCTCCCTCTAGCTCCCCACCCAAGCTTTTTCTCTCCTCAACACCAGCATCAGCCGATTCTCTGTCATCCCCGTTGTCGGACCTGCACTGCACTGCTGCTCTGCACTGCGCTGCACACATTACACAAGCACATCGGCCACATACGCACACCATTTTCTTCTTCTCTCCACCTCAGCGTCTCTTCTCGACTCTGTCCTTTTCTTCCTCCCTTGATTAATCTCATTTTATCGATTCGAGATCATCATGGCTGCCGAACAGGACAAGACCACTGCCGCTCCCCCTGCGGAGACTCCCGCTGCTCCCGCTGTAGCTGGAGCTGAGGCCCCCGCTGAGGGTCACGCTGAAGCTCCCGCAAAGGCCGCCGATGAGAAGCCCATCGAGGAAGCTGGCCCTTCTGCTCTGGAGACGCCTCTCACCAAGCTCAACGCTCGTCTTGATGACATTTTCAACAAGACCTCCTACAAGGAGATGTGGGGTGTTCAGCTCTCCAACATCGATCACGTCCCCACCAAGGTTGTGCTCCAGAAGTTCCTGCGCGCCAACAATGACGATGCCGCTGCCGCCGAGAAGCAGCTCACCTCTGCCCTCGAGTGGCGCAAGAAGATGAACCCTACTGCCCTCGTCACCAAGACCTTCAACAAGAACAAGTTTGACGACCTCGGATTTGTCACCGTCCACAAGGGCGAGAGCGGCAAGGAGACCATCATCACCTGGAACATCTACGGTGCTGTCAAGGACAACAAGGCCACCTTTGGCGACGTTCGGGAGTAAGTTTACAGTATTCTGCGCTCAGACACTTGCTAATTTCATCACAGGTTCATTCAGTGGCGAGCTGCCATCATGGAGCTCAGCGTTCAGAAGCTCAAGCTTGACCAGGTCACCGAGCCTATCCCCGAGGGCGGCGAGGACCCCTACCAGATGATCCAGGTTCACGACTACCAGAACGTCAGCTTCTTCCGCATGGACCCTGCCGTCAAGGCTGCCAGCAAGGAGACCATCGCCGTCTTCTCCATGGCCTACCCCGAACTGCTTGCCCACAAGTACTTTGTCAACGTTCCCGCCATCATGGGCTGGATGTTTGGTGCTATGAAGCTCTTCCTCGCTCCTGCCACCCTCCGCAAGTTCCACCCCATGACTTCGGGCACCACTCTGGCTACTGAGCTTAAGGACATTGTTTCCACCCTTCCCAAGGAGTATGGTGGTCAGGGCCCCAGTGTCAAGGAAGGTCTTAAGATTTCTCTTGCTGATGAGGGCGAGGCTCCTGCCAAGGCTGCCGCTGCTGAGACGCCTGTTGCTGAGGCTTCTCCCGTCGCTGAGCCCATCGCTGTTGCCCAATCCACTCCTGGTGATGAGGCTGCTCCTGCTCCTGTCCCGGCTCCTGTTGAGGCTGCCAAGGAGGAGACAGCCGAGAAGGCCACCGAGAGCGCTGGTGAAAAGCCTGTTGAGGAGTCTTTCGAGAAGCTGACTCTGAAGCCCGTTGAGGAGGCACCCGAAACCGACAAGGAGACTGCTCCTGTTGCAGAGACCGAGAAGAAGGAGGTTGCCCCCGTTGTCGAGTCGGAGAAGAAGGAAGCTGTCCCGGTTTCCGAGGCTGAGAAGAAGGAGACGGCCGCCTAAGTGTTGTTGTGTTCCTGTGATCGACGAGGCTGAGACTTGGAGAAGGCTGAGAGAAAAGTGCGGAGGATACCAACCGTGTGTGATTTTCGCTGTGATAAACAATACCCCTTTACTTTAGTTCTCGCGAGCACGCCTCCTAGGAAGGGCGTGCGGATCTCGGCTCTAGAGACGTTTTAATTGTCAAGTAGACTATAAGAGAGATTCTTGTCTTGTAACGTTTGTTCTTGTGCTGTCTTGCGCGTGACCGTGTTCTGGGGGCCAATGGTGTCGGATGATTGAGGCGAAGAAGCTCGGATGCCAAGGCTAATGGCTCTATTTCCTTGTCTTGAACGGGTTTGATGGGAAAATGCAATAGATACGATGAACTGGTCCTGTTCAGAATACGAAAGTTAAAATATTTGATGGTGATAGTTGGATTTGGCGGTGATACCATCGAGTGAGCTGCAAGGGATCGGGACTGGCACCCGAGACCCCAGATCTGGGGCTTTGGCGCGTAGCATGACTTTGACGGTAGATTGCCTCAAGCATACTAATTCGAGTATCGTGCAATGCCTAGGCTGGACTGATGATAGAATTGAGATGATGATGGATACAAATTCGTCGCAGTTGCGAATGACTGCTCACTTGATGCCTCGTAACCGAGGATGTCTCTAGGAGAGGTCGGTCAAACGTCAAGTTGCGGGGGATATACGGGTATTGCCCACCTAAACATTTTTGCCCGTCCTTTCGAGATAACAGCCAGAGGATGTGACAGTGAATAATGGCCGGTGGCTCTTCGGCGGACGAGGCTCGCGATGTTGCGAAAGGCTTCACACGCCCCCAAACTCCGTGGGTCGTCACTCGCACCTTGGCCCCTGAACTTTGCGGCAACGTCAAAAAGACGATTTTACATATATCTGATGTATTCTCGTGCAAGTATTTCCAATACGCTGTGGGCATTTTTGGGAGGTTTTGAGACGTGATTGAGGGTTGCAGTGGCAACAGGAGGGTGTCACGGGGTTTTTGATAACCGGGAGTCTCGTCCAAACACATCCCCCCGGGGAGCAGGTAGAGGCAATAACTACTCGGTAACTCGACATTTTATCTCTAGATAGTAAAGATATCGCATTCTTTGATTTTTCATGGTGTTTCATGATGGATCGGATTCCCATATCCGGTGTCATCTGAGTCAGCTGTCGTCAAGGCTGTCGGTGGCAAAGCAAGATGGGAGGTCCAGTCTCGAGGAAACGGGGATAGTTTTGCAACTCAAGAGATGCAGAGGATATACGAAATAGATCAAGGCGAATTCAGGTCAATACTTTACAGAGACATCTCACACATTTAGGACCGAGTGCTCTTTGCAAATGCCTCATAGTGAATACTTGATACGGGGTGGTCTGTCTGTAGGCCTGGGTCAAGGTAGGCAGGTCTCTCGACGGCTGGTGTTTACCTCATTAGCAAACGAAATAGCCCAGCCCGTTTTCCCTTGCTTCCTTCGCTCATCCTCCCCTCCTGCGGGCGCGATAAACCATCCTCCTTCAACATCCACCTCCACCCAAAATTATCTCTCTCTTTACAACTTCATTCTTCTCTTGGGTTGACTACACAACATACGTGCTTCCCTCGGCCGTGTGTCAAGTATTACACTCACGAGATCTCGTCTCTCTTCTCCACTATTCATTCGGTCTCGCTCATTGTTGAGACTATTCTTTTTTTTCCGGAGAAGCAGCTGCCCCCCTCTTCTCTCTATTTCCTCCTCCCTGTCACGCACGCCTCTTTTTTCATTGACCACTCACTCATCCCACTTTTTTCGACCTTCAAGACGCGCGACCTCTCGACTCGACTTACGGTCTCGACCTCAACCCCCTTTCTAGAACGCGTTCTTTCATCAAGAGGGCGTGAATCACGAAATCGCCTACTTGATTCTTCTCTTCTCTTTTGTGTATCGGCTATTTAAAGCCTCTCACACACTCTCAACTCGCCTTCACATCTAATCTCTTGTCCTCCTTTTTCGGTTGTTGTTGTCCAGACGGGACCCAGGTATCCGTATCCGTACCTGCCTTCCCTTCCTGCTCTGGGCTCTCCAGTGGCAGGAGCAGCTTGGACCGGCGCGCGCGGGGGGAAAGGACCACCCACTCTCACGGGCTCCTTGCACCTTACTCGCTCACGCACATACCCACGCCCACACCACACCCGACCCGGGGGCTTCCTTCCCACTCCCATTCCCACTCTCACTCTCTAGGCGCGGCGCGTCTCGTCTCGTCGTGCTTTCCTTACTCTCATTTACCTTTGCCTCTATTAAACTCAACTTCAACCAAACCCAACCTCGACTACGGCCCAACTCTTTATCCTCCGCCTCTTTTATCCGAGAAAGTGTATCCTTTTTCCCGTCGACTTTCTCTCTTGTCTCTTTCTCGACTTCTCATGATCACTGCGTCTTGAGCATTTCGCGTCGAATCGAATCGAGTGCACACACGACTCTTGTTCCCCTGCCGCCATGGCACTCGATCTGTCCGCCGAGGGCAGCTTCGAGGTAGGCGCTACGGATGATTCCTCTTCGAATGTCGCGTCAACCACTTCTACTCCTCCAACCACTGTTGCCGACGAAGCCAGTCTTCACTCGGAATCTCCCAAGCGCGATGTCGTACACGTAGCCGTCGAGCCCGAGCCCGAGCATGCGCACGAGCACGACCACCCACAGGAGCCCCTCGAGGCCGCTCCCGAACCCATTGACACAGCACCGCCTGCTGTTCCCGTCGAGTCTGTCAAGAAGGTCACCGCTGCTAAGCCGGCCCCTCCTCCTTCTCTGCGTTCTCGTCGCAGCAATGTTGGCACTCCTGTCTATAACCTGGCCAAACTGAGCGGCACCGATGGCCACGGCAAGCGACGCGCCAAAGGCGACATTGTTGCAGATCGCCGACGACGAAAGACCATTTCTGGTCCGATTGTGAATCTTACGGAACAGGCAACTTCAAGCCCTGCGACTACTGATTCCGTTCGCCATGATATCCACGCGCTTAGCCTCCACCAGTCTCTCAAGAAATCAGACACACCGCGCACTCGCCTCCAGCTCACTGCTGACCCCTCGCCATCTTCACGCCGTTCCTCGACGCGCCGTTCTAGTGCCATCGTGCCTATCGCAACCCCGTCGAGCGCAAAGATAATCAAGCCGGCCAAACGCAGTCGCAAGGCTGTCGAGCAGCAGCCAGCGATCATGTCTAGGGAAATGAGACGCTTGGCCGATACTAAGGAGTTTGCCGGCGTTGATACTGAACCTGTGCTGCTTACCTACTGGTCAAATGGTAAGTACGTTGACCCCAACGCCGCGAAGCAGCCACAACGAAAAAAGTCGGAGCCCGAACCCGCCGAGGAGGAGGAGGCTGAACCGGAGCCCGTGGTCAATGCCAAGAAGAGACGCGAGAAGAAGTACCTCGACAAGGGTCTTTATGCAGGCCAGGATGCTCCCATCGATATCTCTAAGGGTCTATCTGTGGCGGAGAAGAAGAAGCTGGCTCAGCTGCCTGAGCTCATTCCCAACGGTCGTGTCAACAAGACCATGCCTTTGCCCATGTTTAATGGCCTGCGCAATCTCATCAATGGCCGTGACTTCAAGCTCCCATTTAACGTGTGCAACCCCCTTCCTCCGGGCCAGCCCAAACCCGACGAATGGAAGAAGATGACCAAGAGTAATTCACCCGACAGCTTGATTTGCATTCTTGACTAACACTGCTCAGATCGGTTCATCGGCGAGTCCAAGGACTACTGGCGCAAGTCACCACACTTCCACGACTATCAATCCAAGTGCGTGTGCAAGCCCGAGGATGGTTGCGGTGAGAGTTGCCAGAACCGAATCATGCTGTACGAGTGCGACGAGCAGAACTGCAACGTCGGCAAGGCACACTGCACCAACCGCGCATTTGCAACTTTGACCGCACGCCGTAACCAGGGCGGCAAGTATCGCGTGGGAGTCGAGGTGATCAAGACATCGGACCGCGGATACGGCGTGCGAAGCAACCGATGCTTCCGACCAAACCAGATCATCATGGAGTACGCAGGCGAAATCATCACTGAAGCTGAATGCGAGCGTCGCATGACTGAAGTCTACAAGGACAATGAGGTGAGTTTTGACTTTGAGATGACAACTCTGAGTGGACAGGTTAGCTGACTAAGCCTAGTGTTACTATCTGATGAGCTTCGACCAGAACATGATCATCGATGCCACGACAGGGAGCATCGCGCGGTTCGTGAATCACAGCTGCAATCCCAATTGCAGAATGATCAAGTGGATCGTTTCCGGACAGCCGCGAATGGCCCTATTTGCAGGTGACAAGCCTATCACGACGGGCGAGGAGTTGACTTATGACTACAACTTTGACCCCTTCTCCGCCAAGAACGTTCAGAAGTGTCTATGTGGTGAGCCCAACTGCCGAGGTGTACTCGGCCCCAAGCCTCGAGAGGTGAAGCCTCCCAAGTCGGATTCGAAGAACACGGTCAAGGGCGCTGTCAAGGGTGCCGTCAAGGCTGGAAAGCGCAAGCTTAAGGAGCTGATCGGTGACGATGGGGGCAAGGATGGAGGCCCAGCGAAGAAGCGCAAGGTTCAGCCCATGAAGCAAGCAAAGCGAGCTATCTCCCTGGCCAGCTCCAAGGTTGCCAAGGGCGCAGCCAACGCT